ACAAGGCCATACCAATCGCATGTTCTGGTTAGTTCATTCTTAATAATGTCTAAATAAGTGCTTGCGGTGGTGCTCCTGTCCCTTTTTCCAAATATCCGACCTCTTAGATGTTATACATGACCAAATCATAATCGATCCTCCCCTATGTTTATACGTTTGCACCACCTGGTGATAAAAGTAGTCGATTATCGCCGGATCGCTTCCAACACCCCCTAATACCATCTGAACCATATCGATTAATCTTGGTCTCGTCTGAAAATTTCCCGTTGGAAACGAACCAATTTTCGTACTTCTTTGCAAATTCAAATCTTAGTCCCTTGTGATGGTTCTCGAAGTGGGTTTAGTTAACTTTTTTTTCGCATGGAGACCAGCAGAACGCGATGCTTTCAAGACGGTCGACCTTAAAACTGGTCCATCTAATGTTCTTTCTATGATTTTTGAAGCTTTTTTTCTGTGCAGATTCAATTGCATTCAATGTCACTTGTCGTACAGGCGTGCTTTCTCCCGGTTTTTCAAAATCTTTGGACGACCAGGTTCATTGCAAGTATCATATTGAGCTTTGATCTGGGATATTGCAGCCTTACTGAGACAACATTCGCTAGCGTTCTCAGTATAAAGCCTTGCCTTGATCTAAAAGCATTTTACATCATTTTCTTTGTCAAGTGAAATTTACTCAAACGCTTAAAAAAAAAACCTATATGAATGGAGTGATGAAAATTTGTATAAAGATTGAAACAATTTTGCACGAAGAAGGGTCACGTGCAAATCATTTCAATCCAAACTTAAATTTTCAAAAGCAATAAAGCCTTAAGTAAGAATGCAGTTCCTCTAATACAAACTACGTTAGATAGATCTCAGTCTAAACTTATATATATGTACATAAGAGATCGTATAACCAATTGTTAATTAAAGAGCGTTATAGAATTCTTACGAAAAAATTTAAAACATCAAAACAATTTTGAACGTTAGTGTTTTATGCACTATACTACAGAGAATTCTTACATGACAAGCTCTATTTGGTTGAATCTTTTCTTAGTCAGGTGTTGCTTTCGTCCTTCTTTCATTTTTATTTCATTACCGTATACTTGCATAACTGCGTTTTTAGTTTACAACATCGTTTTATCATTGGGAGTAAAGCTACTTTCTCGATTCGTAATAAGAAGATCAGAGGTTTGACAAAAAAGCTTATAAAAAAAAAGCATAGTAGACCCTGTACAGCTTTTTATAAATAAACGTTTTGTGGATCATGAAGGTATGCATACCTCAAATGAAGCCGGAGCAGGAGGAGGGAGCAACTATCAAGTGATACTCTTAAAAGAACCAATGAAATTAAAAAATATTATCATGAAAATTTTCTTCGAAAATAAGGAATTTAATCTAATTTACTGTCCAATATTACTTTGGAAATCTTAATATATTTTAGATTAAAGTTATATTCATTTAAAAATAAGCTATAATTTCTAGCGCCAATAATTCTTTATTTTATCTTAATATTAGATTTATGTTAAACTAAATACATATATATATTAAACTTTGTTGAAAAAAATATCAATGTGAAATTGAGTCTCTTTTATTTTAACTTAGATGGACGACTACGGAATGTTTTCCACAGCATGAAGAATACCCCAACAATTTAGTAACTAACGCCTTGAACTATACTCAGAACAGTTTTTAAAATATAAGACCTAAACATTTTTTGATCTACCATAGAAAAACTGAGCATTCCCTCCACCTAGAACATTTATTACATAGTTATGTATCCTAAATTTTTTTTTTGGTGGTGAGGGGGGAGGAATGTGTTGAACGCTTAAACCTCAGTCATCGCTGTGTTTATGTTATGAGAGGCGAACCCGAGAGGCCTCAATTTGTAAAGGAGGCTACCCTCCTCGACCCTCTCCGTAGTAAGGGGATTTAGATTATAAATAAAATAAAAATTAAGGAGGGAGCTCTTAATCGGGGAGGCCTGGCTGGCAGTGGTGCTGGACAGTGTCTCCAGGTGGCCTCGGGTCTTGTGCCTAAGGCTACCTCTCCCGGGTTGTGGTTTTTAGAGGTTTTCCGCTACACTAGGCCGAATAACGGGGCCCGGCCCGATATTTCCCGCTTTTTCAGTCCTTCGGACAGCCCTGATAGTGCAAACCCCTTGGGACGGGCATTGGCGCCTGCTTAGGTCAGATCGAGAAGTATATTAGACCCTTTTACAGGGCCTGACTGTAGTATGTCAGATAATAAAAAAATAAAAATAAAAATTCAAGGGAAAATTTAAATTTTTCTCTATTTTATATTTTTACTTATTACTTACCCTTTATTACAATTTTTTAACTTCACTTCATAATTTTTTTCATTTATTTAACTTTATTTTATTCATCTGTTATTTCTTTTTACTTTTAAATCCTGTTACAACTTTTATTAAGCCTACTTGAAAGGTTTGCTAATTCTATGGCGAAATATCATATATGGCCCACTAGGAGCCGATTGGGCCTTTACCTTGTCCTATGTGTGCAGTGGGAAATCCTACCGTGAAAAAGAGAAAGGCATAGTTTTTGTGTGTGGGGGTTTGGTTCATGTTTAGTAAAAAGCTATTAAATTTTTTCTAACACTTCAGGGTATACCTTATTTTCCTGTGCGCTGCCTCACGCTCTATGTGGGTACTTAAATATGAACGTTGGGTCTACTATATTATTTTTACTATAAATATTTTTTCTGGTGTAAAAAAGTGGGTTTTTTAAATAAAAAAAAAAAGTAATATTATAACTGGTGCTAAAAATTTGGGCCTTCACAAAACTCAAGATACAAGTTTTTTTTCTCTAGCAGCGTCTTCTAACAGTTATCGTAACAATCTATGAATACTAAAACTTTTGACCCATTTAATCAAATTTAATCTGTTCAACTTGAAACATAATAAGGGTAGTAAAAAAAAAGCTAAAGTTAGGGAGGGAGGAAGGGGGTTTAGCTGGATGAAATAAAGATTCCCATATTAAAAATTTCCAAATTTTATTTGCGTTTTCAGTAAGAAAAAAAAGAAGTAACAACAATTATCGTATATAATTATATAGCTGTACAACTTAAGTGAACAACTTAATTTATGAGATTCAAAATAAAAAAGTTTTAATTTTTACAAAAGATTTCTTACCTTTTTATATTTATAATAGTTATTATGAAAAACGTAGTATCCACTTTAGCCATATGTTAGCACGTCCATTATATATAAAAAAGATTGATTTAGGAATTTCTGAAGTTAACACAAATATATTACCACTTTTTTTTTACAACTGCACACCTACAGCAAAATATGCCATGTTTGTTTTTTTTTATAGAGGACTGTTTATTACCAAAGAAAAGTTATTAAAGGAGAGAAGAGTGAGAGCTTTACAATCAATAGATGTAATTTGGGATTTCTAAATATCAATCGAATTATTCTAACGAGTTAATTAGCTTGTAAAAATAAATTAATTTCCAAACTTGAAGAAATTAGAATTGCAGGCTGATTACTTTTTATTTTTGCATTGTAATAGAAAATTTGACTCATTTATATAAAACTATTTCAATAGAAGAAAGCCTTAAAAGTAAGAAAATATCAATTTTATTAGTGTGGATTATGAAGTCGTATTGATTTATAACAGTGTTAAACATACATCTAAGAATCCTGAAACAAACTATTATTGTAGTTCATTACTTATTAACTTTTTATATATCGGAGAGAAATATAGGGATTTTGTACTTAAGTCAAAAAAAAAACTTTTCAGCACAATTTTGCTAACTTACACCAAAGCTTTAGGCCACAAGTGTAAAAGGTACGATAACGACTGTTGTTCTAGTAATAAACAATTTAAGCCACCACCTGAACGTTAGTGGTTTTCATAATGGCAACTTTTTGTTTTTATCAATCTTCCGTTGCCAAGTCTGCTAAAAGTATTGAATATTATGCTCTCCTTTCCTCAAACCTTAAAGGTTTCAAAAATTGCTCCAAAAGCTCTAAAGAATTTATTAAGCAGATTAGCGATTCACGGCATAAGTAGTCCAAAATTATTTTTATTTATTATTTTTAATGGCACCTAACTATCATCTAATACTTTAAATTTTAATAAAAGTTTTTAGTGGGCTTGTTTCTTTATTTCTTTTATTTTAAACATAAATTTTAAGCTAAAAAATTTATGTAACCTATAGAATATTACGTTTGCTATCGAGTTCCGTAGGCGAAGAGGATAATTTACAGCAAACCTTATATAATTACCTTTCTTGCGTTCAGGGATTCCTGAGTATTTCAAACACCAAAATCCTCTACAAGTTTGTTTAGTTCTTAAATTATATATACATTTATACTATAGTAATAAAAAATAGATGGAGTAACGTTTTTTCAGAAGGATCTAGTGAATCAGGTTTAGTTTATAAATTTTAATCACAATTTAAGTTGTATATAGAGTTTGTTTTTATTGTATAAATTCAGCTCAAATTTTTAATCTCTTATTATTATTTTTTTTTACTAAAATACTATTTTGTTAGAAAGAATTAATATTCGGCTTTATAAAGAGCCCCATCTTTCCTATTAATTCTTTTATAAAATTTTATTCTCCTGAAAACGAATAAATTAGAAAATCTTTACTTTGAAATATGCTCTGTATTGTTGACTTATGTTTTATGGATAAAAAAATATACAATCTGCAAAGTAAATTTATTGGATCTTAACTATAACATGGAAAAAGGTTTATTCACTTCTGCCAAACCAAATACTATTTAACTTTATATTCTTTTGACTTTTTTTTAAATTATGTTAAATGTTTGTAATCTATGTAAATTTTAGTTAATCACTTTTTTTAATTTGCATTTTTTATTGTCTTTCTTAAAAGGCACTCCATAAATCAATTTTTATTGGAATTTATTTACTCACGCTCTTTTAACTTTATTTATATTTATTTATAAAATGTAAAATTAATTTTCAACGAAGTATTCATCTACTTTTTATATAATCTTTAAACTTGAAAATTTATTCGTTTATTCTAAAGTAAAACTATTTTTTATTATAAGCTACTAAACTCTTCCGGAGCTTAAAATTTCTGGCATCCATTTTATGTTATATTGAAGAGATTGTTACGGACAATAATTTGTAAATTTTTTTTTTAAAATAATATTATTTTTCGTAATACTTTTTAATTAATCTCAGTCTCATTAACTTTGTTACTTAAAAAAAATCATTTAATAAATACTAGTCGGCTGTGTGTGGTGTACTGATTTCTTCAAGCCTTCCTTTTAGTATTTTTTTGCTTATAATTATTACAACTACTTTAGCAAATTTCCTGCACACAATAGTAATTTTACACTTTCGCAATTCTTAAAGGTTTAATTTAAATTTTAAAGTAATCATTTCATTATAAAGACTTTTACTATTAAAGTATTAATTTTTCCCTAGCAATACACTGAAATCTTGAAATTATTTTAGTTTATATATACAACAAAAGTTAAGGATTGTAAAGTAATTAAAAAAAAAGAGATTTTTTAATTTAGCTTTATTTTGTTGATCCCTTTTGCTAGGAATTATTTAAGCATTCTTTTTAGATTTACTTTTTACGTTAACTTTTAAATTTTTACGTAATTTTTATGTATTTTTTTTATTTTTGAAAATGTCGTATAGATTTTCATAAAACTTAACTAAGTTTATTGAAAATTTTAATAGAACGACTGCTTTTGAAGGAGATTTGTCGGTAGAGATTGTCAAGAGTTTGTCTCTTTTAACTACCGCGGAAGTATTAATATTGCTTAATTAAATTTTCTAAGTAGATACATTTTTTATACGGTTTTCTATACAAACGAGGTTGAGGAGGTGACTGTCCAGCTCGGGATCCACCGCAAATCTCCAAACAGCCACTTATGCAAAGTCGCCGTAGATCTGTACTCTAAATTTCAGGAAGCTTTGCGTTTGGAACGTTTACAAATTATTCTATTATAAACTTTTTCGTAGTCCATTTCAAGCGGGCAATATTTTTTATAGTGGAATTTGCTTTATACTAAAAAAAAAATTATTAGCTTAAATGGGAATAAAAAATCTTTTTCTACAAATGTATGAAAAATTTGAGTAGCTTGTTTTAAAAAATTGAGTAAATTTAAAATTACTAACTTAATTCTATCGAAATCTTCTTATTAATAAATGGAGTTGGGATAAATTTTTTTTAATTCTATTTGGTTTTAAGCAACAGATTCAAGGCGATAAAAATCACAACCTCAAGCAACTCACGCGTCATCTTGAATTTAAATACTATTCATATCTGTGTTATGCGTACTGGTTTCACGCTATGGACCTTCTAGAAAATGTATCCGCACTTTAAATCTCTTTCACTTCTCATTGTTGCTATGGCACAAAGTCGAGAGGTGGTGACGCGCTTGCAAGTATGACACGTGCTAAGCTTCTAGTAGAAAAGTTGAAAGGCTATTACAACAAATCCAGCGCTTCCTTCATCCACTCTCTTTCAAAAGGAGTCGCGTTTTACCTCGAAAAGGTGCATTTCTTAGCGGAGAACGCTTCGTTCTTGTACTACCCAATCCGTTTAGGCTGAGTTGGATAACGCGCTACTTTACCACAAGAAGGTTCCCGAAAGACCCGTCGACCTCCCAGAATCTCAACAAGTCGTTAATATTGGTGTTTTTTATTTTTTTTGAAGTTCTCCTTTTACAATTTTTTTTCTCGTTTTAATTTTTTTTTATAAGAAAAATTTAGTCTTCCGCCATGCACTGCAAATTGGAACAAAAACGACTTGGAGCTGTTAAACGGCTCTTAATTTTTATTAATTAAAAATAATTTTGGTTGGATTTTTTGTTGCAACTGTTATGAGTTTTTAGGCGTTTTGGAAAAGAGAAGGGCTGTCCGGGAACCACTGATCCTTATATTATTATAAAAAAAAATACTAACGAGTCGCTGTTGACGGCAGAGTGGGCCGAAAATATTTTAATTCTTTTTGTTTACAATAAGTTTAATTGATCCCGGCAGCCGAATATTCTTATATTAGGTTGTCTTTTAATAACAATTCGATTTCATTGAAATTCTTATTAAAAAATTAAGTAACGCTCTATTTAGTAACGCGCTTATCTAACTATAAGCATTAAAAAACTTTAGTATTTATTAATTAACTTAAAATTTCCGGCTAGTAGAAGCATAGGTTAGACTGAATTGCTTATGAAAGCATGTTTATTATTTTCTCTGCTAGTGGGTGTTGTTAATTTCTTAAAAGAATAACCAGATGGATCCTGGACTATTTTAGTCAAGATATTGTTGAAATGTAGTTATGACGCCACTAGGGGGACCCACCAGCCTACCAGCAACAACTTAAGAAATAGTTACGTTAGACATAAATAAAGAATTGAAAAATGAGTATATTTTCAAGACTTGTTTCTTTAAGATGCGAAATATCAATAGTTTACACGTAAAAAGTCCCGCCTTTGAATTGTGCTTTAAAGTTGAATTTATGGCCGCATCAATTTTTACAACCCACTAGTTATCCTTTATTAAGTTTACACTACATTATTCCTTTTTTTTTTCAGGCTATATTGCGACTAGAATTTTCACTTTCTCAGCTGTCTTATTCCCGAACTTTCCTCCGAGAACTGCAGACTATAAAAAACTTTATACTCTAGTATGCTTCTAGAAATAAACCGTGTATATATAAAGGAGTGCTCTCTCGATCTTTTATATTTTTTTCAAAGCCAAAAAAGATTCGGAAAATAATTTATTAAAAAGTCCAGCTTTCACACGCACTCCTTTACAACATTATATTGCTTTATTTGTATTTCAAAATCTAGTCAATTTTAAAAAAGGCTTTGCAGACTAGTAATAATAAACCGAACTTTACGTTTGAAAAATAATTGTCAGTTTACCAAGCTTCTAATCTTTCTATCTTTTTATGAGCCAATCGCCAATTGTTTAATGAAATGATTCAAAGTCCCACTAATGCTAATCTTATCGGGTTTGTCAGTCGGGTACCTTCTGAAAATTCCATAATATCAGTATTCACGATTTTAGCAAATAAGATACTTTTAATTTTATCCATTAATGGATCGAGCTTGATGTTCAAGTAAATCACGATAAAAATGCGTGACTTTATAGAATACGCCCACTATTCTGGGGCTCATAGCTGTGTATATTTCGCAATTTTACTCTTTTTAAAGGGAAGAGGGCTAGTGTAATACTAACCTTTCTGACTATAAAGTTATACGTCGGTAGTTTTGGCCGTTAAGCGTATTCTATTTCCTTTAATTTGATATTTGCTTACTAATATGTTGGCATCTTTATTACTCGTTGCTTGGAATTTTAAATCTATTCATAGTAATACATATATTATTATTACTACTACTGTTATTATCGCTGGTGGTCATTGGTAATATTAAGTTTATGATATTGCTAGTTAAAATTATCTTTTTCACTATATTTGACAGCATTAATCCATAATCCTAGAAGTGTTTTTTAAATAATACCCAGTAGTTTTCTATCTTATATGGTGCTCTCATTAGCTTAGATAGAAATTTTTAAATAAATGAACCCCTTATAACGTACTCTTGGTTTCCAAGTCATTATTAAAAAAAAAGATTTGCACATGCCACCAAAATAAACAAAGTTAACTTTGTTGTAATACTTTGAAAAGTATTTTTTTAGTTACAGGTAAGGACTAGTCGCGTTCTTGTTCGGAGTTACGCTTTCTATGGACTTAAGTTTCATTTTATTTTCTGTCTAAGGCATCGTTGCGAACAAACCACGGCGCGCCCCTCACAAGGCGTAGCAGCTTGTTTTATCTCACTTGAAGCGAAGAGACCGTGAGTCGTAGGCCCAGAGACGCGTATGTCCCGATGGTTGGTTGCAGCGTCGTTTGTTGTGCAATGAGAGTTTGCTACGAGCTCAAAGTAAAGGGTAAAGAGTTTGAACCACCGCCTTGACCTTCACCGCTATATAGTTTACGTGCAACCGCCATGTCAATAATGACCCCCAGATACTTCGCCTGAAGACACCAAGGAATTACCTTATTTTCAAAGGTCAGCGGCGGTAGTGGTGTAGTGCGCTTCTTTATGATAAAGGGAACTTTGCTCTTTTCCGCATTAATAGTAATTTTCCAAGGACGACACCGGTTGGCAAGCGTCACTAATTAGTGCTGCAGATGTTGGCGCAATAGGGCAGGTGACTTTCACGAGGAGTAAATCGTCGTCTCATCCGCATATAAGGCATTACGCGTGTGGAGGTCCTCAGGCTGTGGCACGTCGCGTAGCTAAAATGTAAAGAGAAAGGGTGGTAAAAGAAATTTTTGTGGGCTTCGGCTGTAAGGGTCTTAGGGAAGAGCGCGTAACGTCTACGCTGTCCTCAAGGTAAGATTTGATCACGTTAAAAAGAGTAGAAGGAATGCTAGGGCGCGTAATTTGTAAAGAAAGCCCTTGTGCCAAACTCGTTCAAACGCTTTTTCGATATTAAGAAAGAAGGCGCCCGTTACTTTCTTTAAATTGAAGGCTAGGGTCGTTCGCTTTGCCACGCGGAGGAGTTGTTGAATAGTGGAGCGTCCTTGTCGAAATCCAAATTGGAACTCTGGCAGGGGGTGGCTTGCGTCAACAAATGCTTTTAATGGGTGCAGTATGACCGCCTCAGCTACTTTGCCAACAGCTGACAAGAGGTTGATAGGCCTGTATTTGCTTGGCGTAGATGCTGGTCGTGGTGTCTTCGAGAGCATCACAACAGTTGCCGTCTTCCAGCGCGATGGGAAAGTGCCGAAAGCCAAGAGTTGATGAGGCAGCATAGGCCTTTTTACAGTCACCATTGGTAATTGCTTTAACATCACGTTGGTGATACTGTTCGTTGCCATGTTCCCTTCGTCTCGGCAAAGCGTTAATAATCTACGATTCCAGCTATAGTGATTGGCTCAAGCCAATCCTCGGCATCAGCAAAGAAGTTTGATTCACAAAGCACTACGTCAGCAACTAAAATAAGCAGGCGGCACACAATGAGTAGCGAGGTGATCGGCAAGAGTGTCACTTTGTCAGCATCGAAATTGCCGTCTCGCATAAAAGGTAATGGTAAAAGCTCTCGGTTTTTGTATTTCCTTATGAAAATTCCAGAAAGAGATGCGACAGTTACAGTTTTTATCCGATATATTACTTAACTTTGTCTCCCACAATCTGTTATGTGCGCCAACAGCTCTTTCCTAAGGCGTTGCCGATCTGGATAAGGGCCTTCAGTTCACCGGGCAAACGGTTAGGGTGGAACTCAACTTCACGTGTTGTCGTGGCGGTGTCATACACTATGGTCGAAGCGCCCTCGAATTCAGCAACAACAAAGTCAAATAACGCTGCCGTATTAAGCAAAGCAGAAAATATTGAAAAGGTTATATTAAGAGCCTCTGAGAAGTGAGCCCAGTGCGTAAAAGTTCTGGTATATGTCCTCAGTAACTCCTTTTTGTCGACCAAATAAAGCAGAACTGGCAAATGTCCCGACGAGAGTTCGCAAAAAAAAGAGCTTCAATTGCCGATAAAATATAAATTTTTTTCAAAACGGCGATATCTAATACGTCCTTTCCCTTTCTTCGACATGTGCTTTGGTATTATGGTTCCTAAGACTTGCAATACGCCCTCGTCGGTGTGAGATTTGAGGATTCGGCCGTTTGGGTCATCAACACCGCTATTCCGGGCGGGATGCTTGCAAAAAAGGTTCCCACATACAATAACTATTGAACAAGTTACAAAAAGGGCACATCAAGATCTGAGGTAAAAGTGGAACGCAAGGGGACTTGTAAGCTGCAAATACTCGTGAAGGAGTTTCATTTTGTTACAGCTCGATAACTTAAAAAACACTTTTCCTCTGACCTCTTTACTCGCCGTAACCTCGAGAAAGTTTATATCTACCATCAGTGAAAAGTGGTATTTACTTAGCTGCTCATTACAGCCTTCTGATATATTTAATACAATATTGAACAAATGGACTTAAAAGAAAAGGAAAGAGGTGTTATTTTTTCACACTTTTTTGTCCATATATAGTTTCCGAATATACAGCCTAGATGCCCTTCGCCAGATGCTTAGCTTTGGGAAGCAGGAAGCAAATCAACTTAATAATTGTTTGCCTGCCTGGAAAATATTAATTTATGATACTTATGGCCATGACATTATATCCCCTTTATTAAAAATAGGAGAACTTCGTTCTCTCGGCGTTACACTGCACTTGTAATCATTTTTTAATAAAGTTAATTAAAAAGTTATAAGTTCGTCCAAGCAGACATCTCGACTCTAAGAGAGACATAATCCCAGATACTCCTGCAGTTTATTTTATTATGCCAACACAGAATAATGTTGAAAAAATTTGTAAGGTTTTTTTTCTTGCTTCATGGCTTAAAGATTATTTATTAACTAATTTGTTTTTAAATTTTTATTTAAGATTACTTTTCCATTCTTAGCTGCTTTAACAGATCGCAGCCTGTTTTAATGCTGTGTTTTTTTTCAGGATTGTAAAGAGCAGTTATACAAGAGTTATTATATAAACTTTATTTCCGCTGTGCCTCGGCCTTTGTTGGATACGCTGGCCACATTCACTGTAGAAAATCAGTGTGTACATTTAATATCGAAGGTTTCTTAAATTTATACTTATAAATTTAAGAATATTGTAACTTTTTTTTTTCCTTTTTATTAAAAGGTTTATGATCAGTATCTTAACTTTGTAGCTTTGGAAAAGGATCTTTTTCAACTCCGTTATAGAAATAAGGATCTAATTTCTTACAAACTTTTAAACAGCCCAAAGACTACTGTGAGTTTTATTATATAAATATTTTTTTTTGTGGATTTTAAATTTAGCTACGGCGCTCTTCCTCGGGATCTCGCGAATATTAGTAATAAAAATTAAAAACTAATGCCATCTTGAGTCAAATTTTTAGCACTTTATAATTAATCTATTTATAGTCCATTAATTTGTATTGATTATTATTTTAATTTTTAATTGTAAATATAATTATTATTTAATTTATTATAATAAAGGAAGCGGACATTCAAAAAGCTGTTTCGGAAATTGTTAGCTCGCTATTTTCTGTGCTGGTCACGTTGGGTGCGCCCGATAAATCTTTTAATTCCTTATAATTTTATTATTCTACATTTTAAATTTCAGGGACGGTCCCGTTAATCCGCTTCTACCGAGGCGGTGCCGCTGAGATTGTCGCTAAGGAACTTGGAAATAAGCTAACCAATCATCTTAAGGTGCTTTCTCACTTGCTTTAATTTAAAATTTCTGATCTCGCTTCTGCACTACGAAGGGCTATAAAAATCTGTTTTCGGGATTATCGGGATCTTTAGTAACTTTCCAAAGACCATGTAAGCGCCTGGGGCCCAACACCCATGTGTAGCTGAGGGGGATTTTATAATTTAATTATTTTTGTAGTGCTCATTTTATTGGACCGCAATCAGGATCTGGCCACCCTGCTGAGACATACTTGGACTTACCAGGCTCTTCTCCACGATGTCCTGCACATGGAACTGAACAAAGTGATCGTGCAGGTGAGCCACCGATCTCGGCTGGTGCCCCTTTTGCTTACTGGATCCACGAATGTTAGTCTCAAGATTCCAACGGCACGCCATCTTTAAAATCATATGCTCTGGATAGGTTTTTTTTTAAAATTAATTTCTCTTCAGCGGGCAATACGGGAAGTGTCTTAGTTTCTTTTATTCCAAATTAGCGATTCTGATGCATTTTGGAGAAAAGAAAAATATTCTGTTCTGCAAGATGTCCTCGTCGCCAACGATGAGGAAGTCAAAAATTACAGCCAGCAAGAAAGTTCGACGGTGTAAGAAATTTAAATCTGCTGGTGATTTTTAAATGCCTACAGACTTTTACTTAGAGAAGGAATAAAAACGAGTGACGTTGAGAAATTGACTTCCGCTGTAAATCAGGTGTCGGTTTTAAGAGACAAGAAGGCGTTGATTGGTAATTTTTTTTCTGGTATTACAATTTTTAATGCTTTTATGTTTATATTTACTGCATTTAAGAAATGCACACGAATATTTTGTCGGCTTTGATGAAAGCTGTGAACGAGCGGAATCTCAATCTTCACTTTGAGCGGGAGCAGAGGTGCATTAATCGCGAGCGGCAGGTAATTGTCGTGGTCCTCATGTCCTCGTTAGTAGCCAATTGAGCCAAATATTTTTCCTTTATCCCTTTGTAAGTTTTTATTGTTTATTAAAAATGTCTATGCGGAGAGTTTTAATTTTAATAAAATTTAGCAATAAATTTAATTTTTGGATTACTAAAAAAAAGTTTATTAATAGGATAAAGCGCTTTCTCTCTTCCTACAGGACACTAAAGGGACGCCGCAGGACAAACTACGCGTGTATTTGGTTCATGTGCTCTGCGATGCTCTTTCTGGTAATGCAAATGCGTTGACCTTCACTTTACCCCGTCCGTCCGATTTCGCGATTAAATCTGATTTTCAGATGGCGAGAAAAAAAAGTGCGAGGCTCATCTGCACGATCTCGGCGTTGATCTCGCGTGCACGCAGTACATTAATCAGTGAGATTTCTATAATTTCTCAATGTTCGGCGGGTTGCCCTTAACAGGCTGGTAACCCTCAAGGTTTAAATCCTTTGGCAGGATCGCCGAAAGCTTGAGCGGGCAGACGAAGCCGGCCGGCCCGGCGGGTATGCTCGAGAGGGTGACGAGCAAGGTCCTTTCGGGCCCGTGGTGTTACTTTCGCACTGCTCAATAAATTAATTTTGAACGCAGATCGTCTATCACGGAACCGATCTTTTATCGAAAGGCATCCAAAACGTGTTCCCCTCCACTTTGAAATTTCCTTTTACCAAGATTGTGGAGTAAATTATGTACTTTTTAGATGTAATTAAAATATATAGAGTAATTATGGTACAGTGAGCTTATGGATAACAGAGGAAGTGCTTCAGAGGATTACGGCTGTTTTGATCCCAAACTTCTTCAGCAAAGTTATTTTCGTTGTTCGTAGTATTAATAAGATTTACTTCACTATTTAAAAAAGGCGCAGCGTCGAGAATCAAATCATCATTTTCAAACGCTATTGTGTTTGTAGTGGGCGGAGGAAATCTCGCTGAATTACATAATCTACAAGAATATGCAGCCGTTAATTTTTTTTAATAATTGTTATTATAAAATTTTCTAAATATAATTATTGACAGTCTTGTCAGCCCATTAAAAATATAATCTACGGCTCCACTGAGCTTCTGGCGGGAGATGAATTTTTGCAGCAGCTCAGTAGTTTAGCTCAGGATTGAACACAAGTTTAATTAAAGATTTTGCCTTGTAGGCGTTTTTTAGTATAAATGCAGTGCAGCCCAGTTGGCTTCTTTTAAAATGTTTTGAAATTGATAGTCGGGATAGATTGTAAGTGTTATGAAATGCATCTTCCAGTTAACAAAAGTTTTTACCACGTTATGTATTACCAATGCGTTAAAAATTATTTTCGAAGTTTATTAATTTCTCAACAAAGTTAAAAACTAAAATTTATCAAAGATTTTTTTAAAAGAATGAGGTAGAAAATTTACAAATATAAAGATGTCTGATTCACTAGAAGTGAGTTTTCAAACTTTATAAAATTAGCTTTTTATAAAGCTGTTACTATAAAGGAGAAAAGGCAGAAAAGATGAGCTACAACTTAAACTTTTTTTGCTCGCTTTGATGATAAGATTTATCAATTTTCTTGGCTCAAACCAAATTCAAGGGGAAATTAATATCTTAAACGCGCTGTTTATCTTTTTTTTTTGTTTTTTGTTAAAAATAAATTCTGCTTAAAAAAGGATTGATTTTGAGCAGCTACCACCACTTTATAACAGTGGCTGTGGGCAAGGAACTTTAGTTTATTTCGTTAAAGAAAAGATCTTGATTCCCTCTATCTCTCGATTTTGCTTTGGTCGAGGCCATCACTTTGTTTTATTTCTTAGTTGTTTCCGGGAGAGTATTAATTCTAGTGGAAGCTTTTTAAGTTTCTTAGTTGGAATAACCACAAGTTTTCTGATTCTTACTTACGAGGGCGGAGAGATATATTCTGGCCACATATAGATAAGGAACCGTTATACTTAATTATATGAAGGCATTGCTTGATTTTATACTTTATCGGGTTACCTTAGGAATTCCAAGTCAATATGTCGTTTTATTGGTTTGACATACGTCCATCATAATAAACGGCTCAAGCAATTTCAGTACTATATAAAAATTTGAAATTTGTACGATTTATAAATTTTTCTTTTGAAAGTCTAATAGCAGCCGAATTTAAAAAGGAGCTAGATTCAACGTAAGAAGGCTCTTTCCCCATTGAATATACGATAGTTAAGCGCTGGGTTGCTGAATTTAAAATGGGCCAGGCAAGCACCAATAACGAATCACGAAGTGGGCGACTCATTGAATGACTACGCCAGATAATTTTAGAAAAATCCACAAGGCAGTTTTGACCAGCTGCAGAGCTGAGTGAGAGAGATGGCGGAGACTAAGCATTTCAACTGAACGAGTACATAATATTTTTGCGTAAGGTGGGTGGTGCGTTTGCTGCCCACTGACCAAAAATGATGTCGAAAGAGCATTCCAACCTATTGTTTGGCGCCCTATAAGCGCACTCCTCCGACTTATTTTTAAGGCGATTACTTATTATTGATGAGACTTTAGTTATCTCTATACGCCTGAGACTAAAAACAGTCAAAAAATAGTTGCATCGGCTAGCAAGGTTATGACGACTCATTTTTGTGATGGACGTGAGATAATTTTTGTTAACTATTCTAAAAAGGGAAGAACGATCAAATGAGGGAGTATTACGCAAACTTGTTAGGAAACTTATACGAAGAGGCTAAAAGACAACGGTCTCATTAAGCGCAAAAGGAAATACTGTTTCATCTAATGCACCAGTTCCCACGGCACTCATTTGTAATGGCTAAAACCATTAAAAAGTTTTCGCAACCTATCGTATCATCACCAGGTAATCCCGGCGCGACTTCCATCTGTTTTCAAATCTCAATAAGTGGTTTGATGGATAGAGATTTGCGAATGGTATTGCAGTCGTCACGCTGTAAGCAACTATTTTGAAAACCTCGACGGATCGACCTGTCAGTCTGGAGAAGTGCATCGAGCTTACTGGAATATATATCATAAAAAAATGTTTTTCTTGTTCAGGTCCGGAATATATCGCTCCACCCCCGTATAAAGATGAAAATTTTTTTAAATAGTTATTGCTACTTAAAAAATCTTATAGCGATTGTCTCAATCGTGGAATGAACGACAGAGTTTGCTTAGCAATATATCAAGTAGGTATAATTAAAATATAAATTCCTAAATTAGTTATGAAGGTTAAGTGGTACGGCAGAATAAAAAATTTTATATAAAAGTTATATTAAAGATGTAAATAAAAATAAAATAAAAGTACAATAAAATAAATAACGTTATGAAAGAAAGACATTCGCGAAGGTAAAGAGAGGATTTTTCGGAACGTAATTAAAGTCTTAAGGTCAGACGTTTATCAATTGCTAGCAGATACGATGTGCATTTTTATGTTTATTTAGTCAAAGATGTCTTGTTAAAGTAAGGGTTATAAATTTTTTATTGCATTATTCTAGTAAATAGTTAATAGTTTGGAAGCATGAAGTTCTTAGCGAAAGGCCTAGTGTAATTAATTATATTATCGCAGTATTTCTATACCAATGTCTTTATTTTCATTATTACTATTATTTATAAAAAAAGTACTCTAATTGGATTTTTTTTAATTTTTTAGTTAACTTATTACTGGGGCACAACTTGATTGCTAAATCTATATCCCCCTCGCAAACCAAAAGAGAGGTTATAAAGGAGACCAGTCCCTCTTAAACAGTCGGAAATTTTCATAGTTTGCGTATAGATTTATAACCAAATCACAAAGAAAGTTGTAAACAGCATATATGCATACATACAATTGATAATAATAGCATTATATAAAAATAAAAATGGAATATATAATATAATATATTTTTATATATTATATATACTCTATTTACTTTGACTTCGGCAAGTTTTAATAACAATTAATATGTATTTATCTTTATTAAATATGAATTTTCTATTATAAAGAATATTTATAAAAATAACTTCTAGGTTTACGTACAATCCTGGCCTGCTTAATACAGTGGAACGAGGGTTTACAAGTAATAAGCCCCCACCGCCTTCTGGCAGGCCTGCAGCTGCACAGAAAAAAAACTAGACGTCTGTTAACAACAAGCGACGTCTTACAATTGATACTTGAACAGAATATGCATTTCATGCGTAGTAGTAGGAAGTACCTATTTTTTTTTGCTCGTAAACACTTAATATGTAATGATGCTGTGTGTGGTGACCTCTTTAATAGGTCGTTTTTGACTAAAAAATTAAAAAATGTAAAAAATTTTCACAGCTTCTCAAAAGGTTACACAATTCGTTTACACAAAACCCAGTTTTACCATAGTTATGCTACATTATAACTTTTTAGTCTTAAAAGAGGTTACTGTAAAAGTTCCTTTCATGGAAGAGTCTATAAATAAAGGAGACGTGAAATCTTGGTTAAAAAGTATTGCACCAACTTTTAGCGTGTTTTTTTGTTTATAGTTACTTATACATTACATAAAACTCCTCTGTTTATAGAAGAAGGGGATTATGTTTCAGAGGATACTTGCGTGGTTACCATCGAAACGGATAAGTTGGAAAAAGAAGTTAGAGCGCCAGAATCTGGAGTATAAACTCTTAATCTATAACACTTTAAGCTATGTTACTTACAATTTTAGGTCATAACAAAAGTCCTAGTAGAGGAAGGAGAAACTGTTGCTGTTGGTAAAGAATTATGTTTAATTGATACTGAAGGTACAATGATTTTTATTAATAACGAAAACTTTATTTTATTTTTATGTACTGTTCTTTTGTGTTTTTATTTAACATAGTAATTTCTTGATGATTAAAGTTTGCTTAATCTAAGCGTGTTCTTTTGTTTGCTTTAACTTTTAAAGTTATTTTTAATTTAAAAATATTATAGTATATGTAAATTAGCTAGGAAGAAATAAGTGTAAAATGGTTAACTTTTATTTGAACAAATGGGATTCTCTGCAATAGACTTTATTTATATTTTAAATAGCGAGTTTACTATTTTTCACTTAATAATACTCATTTAATAAAAGCTTAAAGAAGGTTCAAGAATCTAAAGTTATAATTGTTGTTTTTTGGCTAATGAAAGTTAAATTTTTACTAGAAAATTTTAACTTACTATTAATGAACATCTTCATAGGCCACTTTTTTTTACATAACGCGATCACTTTATATAATTTTAAAACTGGACGTTAAATTGATCAAAATATAATTAGATTGTAGAAAATTTAGTAGCCTAATTTTATAGGATGTATAACTTTAGCAACTTCTTTGTATGCCAATCATTTCGAATAACATGTATACTTTAACTAAGATAAGCACACTTTAAACTATTCTGCTGCTACAATTGGTTCTCTATAGGCAAAGCTCCTGAGAATTTGGAGTGTTCCGAAGAAAAGAAAATAGACGAGCATAGCAAAAGCACGGCATCTTCTAAGCACGACTCTAAAAAAACGGAAGAAGACTCTAAAGTCGATAATAAAGAACAGCCGAAGTCTGAATCAAGTCGGAAGATTGCTCCCCGATCTTCCCCGACCCCTTCAAAAGATGACCCTGAAAAGAGTTATTTTACCAGTAAATTGGACCCGAATCATTTTATTCTATTCGCCCCTACCCAATTTAGCCAGAAAAGGAGAGACACGTATAAAAATGACCCGCATGCGCGCCCGAATCGCCGAAAGATTAAAAGAATCTCAGAACACGTGCGCGTCGTTAACTACTCTGAATGAGATTGACATGAGGTTTGATATAATAGTTCGTTTAATTTCTGGTCGCGCTCACGTGCATTGCGGCCGCAGTAAAATCGTTGACATTCGCAAGCGTTATAAGGAGCTCTTTAGAGAGCAGCACGGCATCAATCTGGGCTTCATGTCCGCCTTCTTAGCCGCGTCGGTGGCCGCCTTGAAGGAGCAGCCTGTCGTCAATGCTGGTGCTTTGCTGCTATGATTGGTCGATATTATCCCCATGAATGCTTTATGTCTCCAGTTATTGAGGGAGCCGACATTGTCTATCGGGACTACATCGATATCAGCGTGGCAGTGGCGACTCCAAAAGGGCTGGTCGTCCCTGTCATTCGTGGCGTCAACGAATACAAACTGGTAGATTTTGAGCGGGAATTAGCAAAACTGGCCGAAAAAGTGCGGTGCATTGCTCATTGGTGGACTCTCATGTCATGCTAACCCCTTGACAGGCGCGCAATGGGAAGCTGGCGATGGAGGACATCGTGGGCGGGACTTTCACGGTGTCCAATGGTGGCGTGTTCGGCAGCTTGATGGGCACACCGATCATAAACTTGCCCCAATCCGCCATATTAGGAATGCACAGCATCAAGGAAAGGCCAATGGCTGTAGACGGAAAGGTCGAATTTATTAACCTATACCTGTTTTTTATTAACAATCTCCACCATGCCACAGGTGGAAATTCGGCCAATGATGTACGTTGCGCTGACCTATGACCACCGATTGATAGATGGGCGCGAGGCCGTTACCTTCCTTAGGAAAATCAAAGAAATCGTTGAAGATCCCGTTCGCCTTCTCCTAGGCATATAAATGCAATAAAATTTTACTCTGAACCCCAACATCCCATTGTTTATATTTTAACGCGACACCTCTTTACAAGTTGTAACCCTGCAGCACGGTATTCCCTTCCGGCCACTGGCGCAGAGAAGCAAGCAGTTTCACTATTTCTCTATGCAAATTGCTATCAAGTTCTACAGAGAAATATTGTTATGCCTTTCGTTTCGATTTTTTTAAAAATAGGCACTTACGCAAATCGTCGAGGCGAGGCGGCAGTGCACGCAGTAGTTCATGTACAAGTTTACTTTCTATAAGCACATGCCGATGAGCTTCTCCTTTTTCCATGCATTCCCTTAAACCTGCGAATGAAGCAAGGTCCAAGTAAGCATGTGAGAGAAACAAGCCACGTGTGTACGTATACCCTGCACAGCCAACCTGGCCAAGCAGAGAAGCTCCTCGCCGTCTTCTTGTCCGTCTGTGCGGGACTTACACAAAAGAAGAGACGCTAAAAACGAGGCATAAACGCGGAGGAAGTCCGCGTAGCAATTGGTTTCGGTGCTGCACAAGTCGACTTCACTTGTCTGTCGCACGATCAATAGCCCAACCACCGCTGCCGTAGCCTTACAAGTGTCGTCTGCTAGAGGTGAGGGTTAGAGCTCCTAATACAAGCCAATAGAGCGAGCATGTGACCAGGTGGACGGGCGTTGCAGAGAGTATTTACCAATGAGGTAAACACTTCCGGCTTGGTAGAAACGGCGGTTTCTTGAGCAGTTAAAATGTTTAGAAACACGTTCAAGCCGCTGCAGACCGAAAGCGTTTCACGGCAATCACCTGAAAAAGCCATACTTGAGTAGGACGCTCAGCACTTCCTGCGCTTTCTTACCCATGTGGTCCGCCAAGTAGTGGTCAATCACAGAGTGGCCGCCGTGAGCCGTAAAGCAAGCCGCATAATTGGCCTCTCTGGTAAGTTGGCAAAGTGCGGGTAACAAGAGTTTGGCGAACGACTGCCTTGAATTTTTTCCCAACCAGTAAGATAAACATTAATAAAAAAACGGCAACCTGGAGGAGCACAAGGTAATAAGAGAGGGCAGAGTTTCAAGGACATCGCCATCGAGATCCTCCGGGTCACATACAAGCCAGACGGATACCATGCGGATGCATGCGTGCAGCACGGTAGGAAGGCCTTCGTCTTCCTGAGCATGTTCCACACAGCTCAAAATCTTCAAAAGAAAAACGTAAAGTTGATAAAATATATAAATATATATAAGAAATAACACACGAAAATGTTTATAATTAATAATAAAAATAATAAATTTATAATAAATAATTAAAAAGTACTTATACCCGAACGTCTCTGAACATCCTCAGAATAGATTTGATCGCGTCGGTAATGGACGTGTTGGTCCGGCAGATAACAAAAGGAGCAAAGGAAGAGCACTAAAAAAAAATTTAGCGAAATAAAATTTTAAAGAAAAAATTAAATATACTCACTACCGAAGCAGAAGAGCCTTCAGAAAAAAACTGCAGCGCTTTCTCGAGGATCACAAAGCAGCTGAAGAGCAATTTTTCCTGCTTTTCAAGCTCCGCAACAGAACTGTCGTCAATGATCATCCGGATCTTAGAAAAATGGCGTCCGAAAAAAAGGTTAGCCAAGAAAGCAGCGAGCTCACCTCAACGCACGTGTGCGCAATGCAGGACGCCAGGACGTGCCCTTCGCCGTCCTCGAGCCACTCAAGATCCCAAAGAAACGAAAGATCGGCAGTTAAGGTTAAACATTTTCTTCGGAATTCAGCCGCTGCAAGTTTAAAACAAAAAAAGGAAATTAATTAAATTAAATTTTTTAAATAAATATAAACATACAAATATCGCGAAAATATATTAATATATACATAAAAACAAGATTTCGTTATTAAAATTCTGTTAAAAAATAAATATAAAAGAAAAATTAGCCAAGAAATACTTAATTTGCTCCGAAAAAGTTCCGACAAAGATTTTTGTAGAAGCGGCAAAAGATCTGGTTGCATTTTAAATAAAAAGTCGTAAAGAGGCTCATCCTAAATTTAATTCATAAAAGAAAAAAAAATGACTTAATTATATATAAAATTACTGGAAGGCAGCGGACGAGACAAGTAAGCAAATCGCAATATATAAATTTATTTTTGTCTCGTAAAATGCAAAATTTCGAAACAACTTTAGCTAGGAAATCCGCATATACAGAGGGAAACTTTGTTATAATAAGATTCTTAAATTGATTCAGGATGGCGGTGACAATGAGAGCAGAAGATCCTTTTTAAATAAATTAAATAAAAATGACTGCAAAAAAAAAATTACTTAGTTGTAAATAACCTAAAGTACGTTCATCTAAAGTTGTATCGAAAAGAGAAACTAAAAAGGCTTCATCTTCAATTAATAATTCGGAACCTTTACTGCAGCATAGAATACCCCGAAGGCACTCAAAGACATCCAAACAAACGCTTTTTAAAAATATTAGTCATCTATAATAAACTGGAACCTAAAAAAAGTACTTTAGATGCTCTTCCGTAGAATTCTCTAAGTAAAGCGTTATAAATTTTGAATAAACTTTAGTATGGCTAGATAGACGGGCTTCCTCACAAATGGAAGGAATTCTGCTTAAGACGGCCAAAAGAGAAATTGCGACTTCTTGATATTGCAAAGTGATCAAGTCTTCTCGAAAATATCAAAAATAAAATAATTATTAATGCAATATAAAGATGAGTTAAAAAATTGACCTGTAGAGGAAGAAGGTCTCAGAAGTTGGTCAAAAAAATCAGTGCCCAAACTTTTATAAAGATCCTGAACGTATTGAAGGTCTCTTTAAAACAAAATGTAGCATTAAGTAAATTTTTAAAGTAAAAGATTCGAATTGTAAAAACTTTTCAGGGGAATCTCCTTTTACAGCTTTCACAGCATTCAGTTTGGATAATATATTCACAAGTATAAGTAGAAGAGTTAACTTCTGTTCGTTTGATTTTAAGTTCTTCCATTTAGACAACATATAATAAAACTCATTTTGATATTTCTCAAGTTCTTCTAGTTTTATATTATTACAAACAGAAGATTCGCTCA